CCTTAATACTGTACTTGTTGTTCCATCCCTTGATTACAACCTACTTTCTGTCACTCAACTAACCATTGCTTTGAATTGTGTTATTGTTTTTTGGCCTCACTATTGTGTGTTTAAGGACATCCAGACTCGGCGGACGATTGATTATGACATTAAGAAGGGGAAGTTATACTACATGGATTTGACATTGGATAGTACTTCTTGCATGACTAAAGCTCTGTCGGTGGACACCTCACATGGGGAGCCGAAAGCTAGAGCTGATATTTGGTTGTGGCGTTGTCGCTTAGGACATGCTTCATTTGGTTATTTATAGAAACTTTTTCTGAGTTTGTTTGTTAAGTGTGATGTTTCGAGTTTCAAATGTGATGTTTGTGAGCTGGCTCATAGCCATCGTGTCTCTTTTCCATCTAGTTTACATAAAAGTTCAATGCCTTTTATGATTGTTCATTCTGATGTTTGGGGTCCATCTAAAATTGCAACTTTGGGTGGTGCTCGGTGGTTTGTTACTTTTATTGATGACTGTACTTGAATGACGTGGGTAGTTTTGTTGAAAAATAAAAGTGATGTATGTTCTACCTTTCAGAAGTTTCATAGAATGGTTCTCACACAGTATAACAAATAGATACAGGTACTTCGGAGTGATAATGGCAAAGAATATGTGAATGTTGATTTGCAAACTTTTTTAATTGCCCATGGTATTATTCATCAGAAAACGTGTCTATATACTCCACAACAGAATGGTGTTGCCGAAAGGAAGAACCGGCATCTCCTGAATATGGTTCGTGCTTTGTTACTTGAAGCACATACCCCTCTTTCTTGTTGGGGTGAAGCTCTTGTGTCTGCTGCTTATCTGATTAATAGAGTGCCTTCTCGTACTGTGGAGTTCAAGACACGTACTGTGGAGTTCAAGACACCGCACCACCTCCTGACCTCATTGATTCCTGCCCCACCTTCTCCATATCTCCTAACCCATATTTTTGGCTATGTGGCTTATGTACATCTTCATAAGCAACAACGGAGTAAGTTGGCAACTCGAGCTATGCAGTGTGTCTTTGTTGGATATGCGTCACAACATAAAGGTTATTGGTGTTATCATCCCCCGACACAGAAGATGATTGTCACTATGGATGTGACGTTTCATGAGTTGACCATGTATTATTACTCACCTGAGTCTTCACTTCAGGGGGAAAGAAGACGAGAAGTGCAGACTCTGGATTATACGGTCATACCAGATCATGTTGTTATGGATAATTTGGATGAAAGTGGTGACAATTCCTTGGATGAAAGTGGTGAAAATCCACCAATGACCGAACCAGACACAGCATCAGTGCCGGTGTTGCAACATGCACCAACTGAATAAATAACACTTGAACTAGATGTACAACACCAGTTTGATCCGATAACTGAACCGAATGAACCTATGCTGCCCGAGCCTAATGCCGCCAGTGATAACTAATCTCCACCAATGATGGATGTCCATCCAACACGTCTTCCACCAAGAAGTAATCGAGGTATTCCAAAACCCACCTATGAACTTGATCCTACAAGTAAAGTAAAATATCCCATGAGTAATTATGTGACCACTAATCATCTATCAGAATCAAATAAGTCATTTCTGTGTCAATTATCTTCTGTATGTATTCCTAACAGTATGCAAGAAGCCTTATCAAATCAGAATTGGCAAGCCGCAATGGAGGAGGAGTTGAGGTCATTAAAGCAGAACAACACATGGAAAATAGTTGATTTACCGGCTGGGAAGAAACCTGTGGGGTGCAGATGGATTTTTACAGTGAAGTATCTGGCAGACGGAACAATTGATCGCTACAAGGCTAGATTAGTTGCAAAAGGGTACTCACAAAAATATGGGATTGATTATACAGAGAAATTCGCACCAGTAGCAAAGATAAATACAGTTTGTGTCTTATGATCCCTGGCGGCGAACTTAGATTGGCCTTCGCACCAGTTTGACGTAAAGAATGCATTTCTGCATAGAGAACTGACAGAAGAAGTTTATATGGTCTCAAACAGTCACCCAGAGCTTGGTTTGGGAGATTTACACAGGCTATGAGATGATTTGGTTATAAGCAGAATAATTTAGATCATACTTTGTTTATAAAGCAAAAAGATGGTAAAATTACAGCACTTATAGTTTATGTTGATGATATGGTGGTTACAGGAGATGATGAAAAGGAGCGCTTAGTAAAATTACACAGGCTAGTTGCACGGTCTAGTGTAGAAGCAAAATATCGCGGCATGGCATTGGGAATATGTGAGATATCGGAGTTTATTGAAGGACTTAGGCCACCTAAGTCCTTCACCTATGAAGTTGTTTTGTGATAACCAAGCCGCACGTGATATTGCGCATAATCCAATACAACACGACAGAACCAAACATGTTGAGGTGGATCGATTCTTTATTAAAGAAAAAATAGAAGGGAAGATTATTGAGGTACCACCAATCCGGACAGAAGATCAGCTAGCAGATATACTGATAAAGGCTGTTATAAGTCACGTGTTTTCTAGGTTCCTGTCTAAGTTGGGCATTTGTGACATCTATGCACCAACTTGAGGGAGAGTGTTGACTTTTGTATATAATTAGATTTCCTAGTTATAGGCATAAAAGCTGTATTTAGTTATTCCTCCTTTAACCGGAATTGGTTTCCTTGTAGGGATTGTACTCTTTGTATAAATATCCTCTAAAGAGAAGAATAATATAGTTTTTCAGTTCTCTCTATTTCAACTATATCCATTGGTTGGTTTTGACTTTGGGGCCTCTATTGCTCCTTCAGTGCGCTATTGGGCAGTGTTGACCATGTTATGCGGATCTAGGCATGCACGTTGTTGCAATTTGCAAAGGTCAAAAGTGTACCTATGCTTCGAAATCTCCATGTCTTAGCCTTCAATTGCTTGTATATGTTCTCTCTCTCTCTCTCTCTCTCTCCATGGACATGGATCGAGTTGGAATCCATTGAGCTTCAACAGTACACAATTCCTTACAGTTATATGATGATAACCTCACAATGATCACAAATTGTATACCCCTTGAATCCATCAAGTAGATAGCGATATTCCGAATTCATTTAGAAATAGCGATATTCTAAAATCGAACTAAGAATAACTTACTGATCTATTTGTAATGGACATTTGTCTCAATATTCAAAAAATAAGTGTAACTCTTGGCATTCGTTCACTATTTAATGAAAAAGAAAACAATAATGATATAAGATTGATTGTTAAATTAATTAATTTTTTAGTATCTTGTGCTAGCATGTATTAATTACTAATGGGCTGCCACTACTTACAACCATTTATGTAAGTTGACTTTTTCCCTCTCTTTTTTATTTTCTTTCTCTAGGCAAAGTCAATTGCTTCTCATTTGTGTAAGTTGACTTTCTCCCCCTCCTTTATATTTTCTTTCTCTAGGCAAAGTCAATTGATTCTCATTTATGTAAGTTGACTTTCTCCCTCTCTTTTTTTGCATGTCAATGACCTAATCGCTTCTTCCTCACTATATTATTTTGAAAACTACTGATTTTAATTACAATATCTCATCATAAATTGTTCTTTATTTTTATTTATTTTTTGTGAAAAATGGAAGCAATTAATATCTGATATGCTCTAGAAAAGCGATATAGCATTTTATTCGAAGAGAAGAATGAAACAAGTACAAAAACCGGCTATGTCTTAGAGGCTATACTAACTAGTTGTAGTTTAGTTGTATAAATCCCAATGCATATAGTTAGGTACCCTCATACCATTTCTTTGTTCTCACTCCATCTCTTTGCTTCATCTCTAAGGCCACCTCCAGCGCAGGCCCCTTTTCAGGGGTTTGGACCTCCAGCGCGCGCCAAGCAGTCTGGGCAAGCCCTGGGTTCCACCAGCCCGGGCAAGCCCGAAGGCTGATCCTGCCTGGGCTTTAGCCCGAAGGCGCTGACGTCATAGAGCAAAAAAATAACAAAAAATTATGGATGTTTTCCCTATAAATACATAACAATTTTATTCACTTTCCACATCTAATCCTCATACAAACTTTTCTCCTTCCAATATTTGTAAATTGTAATAATTTTTTTTCTTGCATTTGTAAATTGTTTATATTTTCTCCATATTTATTTTTTTCTTGCATAATCATTTTATTTCTTGCATTTCTAAATTGTTTATATTTTGTTGCATATTCTTTCTTTTTTTTCTTGCCCTTGCCCTATCCTTTTGGGGTGGAACCAAAAAAGGCAAGGCTGCCACTATTCACATGAAAAGTAGCAGCCCTTGCTTTGCCTTTGCCTTTGCCTTAGCCTCTTGGGGTGGACATGCTCTAAGTTGAAGAGAACAGCACTAATGATGCATCCAATCATGCTAATATTACATCCAATCACCACGACATCAGAGCCTTGAATTCCTCATCCTCATATCACTCTACTGATCATACGTGATTTCAGGAATTATATCAATCTCTTGTAATCTTTGTTATCTTGTTTCCTTCTAGGACTAATATTACCATATGTGTTGTATCAATAGTCAAACTGTAATTGTATAAAGCAAGCATGAATAGAAATCAATGATCATCGAGCTATTCCCCAAATATCTGCTATGTTCTAATTCTTCTTCACTGTTATTATTTTTCTATATAAGTGACCTGAACAAACAAAGACAGCACAAACACCAATGGCCTCGGATTCCCCACTTCAATCCAAGTCTCCCTACACCTCAAATATCTTCTTCTTTTGTCTTCTCCTCCTCTCAACAAATCTCCTCACTTTGTTCTTTTCCTCATCCTTTTCCATCTGCTCTCTCAAATCTCTCTCCACCGCAGCAACCACCGCTGACCTTGCAAAACCAACCACGGGATTAAACCTCCCGGAGGCCCCTACCAAAGACACATCCGATCTCCCACCCGAATTCCTTGCCTTTGCATCCGGACAACTCCTCCCATTTGGCTACAACATCAACTTTGACTCCAACACCATTTACCCTGCAGTTGGCCAAGCATGCAC